TTGAGTTGCATGATTCATCGCGCATAACATGCGTCCAATTGCACTCCGCACCGTCCAATTTATCTGAAAAATTAGATTCTCTGTCCATCTGTTTTATTTTAATGCAAGGTCATGGACGCCCCAAATGTGCTTTTATCATTGATGACTCGCTAAGGCCCAGAACCAATTATACTCCGGGGTGACAGAGAGTGCATTTTTTAATATATTAAACAATATTTTATTAATATTAAAAATTATTTTTAATATTAATATATCAAAACAATTCAAAAACACATAAAAATAAATTACCTTCGCTGCTCTGCATCAATCTACTATATTAACTTTTACGTGTTGTGTTTAACGAGGAAGGTTTTCGACCCTTACAATATATTCGAACTCTAGGAAAAAAACAAACTGAGCACAACTCTTGGAGATTTGTGTAATGTTAGATATATAAAAAAATATTAACATAATTTATTCCAAACTACAAAAAAATACTAAAAAAATACATTAATTTAATATTTTTTAAATTAAAAACATTTTTTAAAAACTTGGAAACGAAAACAAAAGTTGTCCCTCCAAGTATTTGCTAAAAAAATATAAAAACCCCCCTCTCTCCTTGTCGCAAAAAGCTATGCGTGTAGAACTCCCCATGGCCTCCCACATCTGACCTCTCGGAGACCTGCCCGCCTATCTCCCCCATTCTCTCTCTCTCTCTCTCTCTCTCTCTCTCTCCATATTTTCGAAGAATCCTGATCTCAAAGGTTCCTCTTCCTCCTTCCTTGTTTTTTCTTTCTTTCTTTCTTTCTTTCAAACGCACAGATCTACTCTTATGTCCTTCTCGTTTTGGTTATTGATTTTGTAGTTGCTGCTTCTCTTCTTCTTTTTATTGTCTTCGTTGTGCAGAGAGTGTTTATATATTATTATTGTTATTATTATTTCTTTTTTGGATTTCGTTCGATGGCTGCTCCCCCAACTAGAGCCCGAGCCGATTATGACTATCTCATTAAGCTTCTCTTGATCGGCGATAGCGGTATGGATCTTTTATGTCGTTGTTTACTGTTTTTCATCTTTTGTTTTTTGTTTTTTTAAGGATCCCATGATTTCAATTCAGGTAACCTATCTACTCATGTATGCTCCCACTTGATTTATAGTATAGGAAATGTTTTAGTTTTTCATGTAAAATTGGAATATCTGATAGCGGTGAGACAGCAACATGCAATCTGACATGAATTGCATAGCTGATGGTTTTTCTTGTTGGGATCTTGTAACTATCAGGATTCGGTACTATGTAGGAGGTGGGAGAGAACGTGCTTGCCACCTATTTGGATTGTCGGGAGTTTAGCTCTTTGTCTACCTCCCCTTCCCCCTCCGTATCTCTCCATTTATTGATATGATAGCTGCTAATAGCTTATAAAAAATGATATAGATCCAAATATGTTGACTACTTGATGCCATGTTTTTTTCTCCTTGTGTTTGATGTTATTATGCTTTTTTTTTTCTTGGAAATGCTGTCTGCTTCACTGGTTTTGCATAATTGCTAAAGTTCAAGTTTATTCTGCAACACAATATTGTGCTTGAGATTTCAATCTTTCCTGTTGCTTGCTGTCGCAGGTGTGGGGAAGAGTTGCCTTCTTTTGCGTTTCTCTGACGGTTCCTTCACAACTAGTTTTATCACCACCATTGGGTGTGTATTCCTTGCATTTTGGGCTTAAAACGCATTAACTGGTTTTTCTATCTTGAAGAACTTCTCTGACCTTCCCAAGCTCATTCTTTATCATGCAGTATTGACTTTAAGATAAGAACCATTGAGCTTGATGGCAAAAGGATTAAGCTTCAAATTTGGGATACAGCTGGGCAGGAGCGGTTCCGAACAATCACAACTGGTATCTTTCTCTTTTGTAGATACTGTTTTCTCAGTGATAGAAAGGGAAAGGATATTTGTGAAGTCTGCTCTACTTAGGTTTGTCACATTTCATATTGCTCATAAAGAACATCAAACTGGGGGGGTTCATGTATGAGACATAAGCTATCCACTTGAAGATTTTCCATGCGGAACCTGCCCATTTGATGAGCCTAATTACTCTCCGGGGAAGTGTTTTCTGTGATGGGGGGAGAGGTATTCTTACAGTTTTCATTTTTTTGGGTGGGTCTGGGGGTGTGGTTGAACAAACTTTTGAATGCCATACTATGCAACCAAATATGAGCGTTCACTTTTTGAAGCAGGGGCAATGTGAGAGAAGATTTGTGGTTGGCTGTGGCTGGATGAATTAAATCTAAAGAGTTTGGGATTAAGGCTTGTTTTGTTGATTACCAGGATTGCATAGAGGCTCCAGTCCACCTCGAGGAATATCCTCTCAAATTAGTATTGATGTGAATGGCTGACAATGGCATCAGGGAAGCCTAAAGTTCTGATGCATGAATTGCAGCTTGGTATTGCCTAAGTTTTATGCCTACTAGTTAACGACACTTGGACTACTGCATCGTGTATGTGAAGATCTTTACATGGTTAGAATTGTACCATCAGACTAACTTTTAACTCTGGGAATCTCTAGGACAAGACCATTAGATCTTAGATCATTATCGTCAATGTCTGGCATTTGGAGTTTTGTAGTTCACAGAACTAAGTTTGTGGATTGTTATCTGTGTTGTCTTTCATGCAATTGTTATAAGTTGATTTGTGCTTCATTTCTAGTTCATGTCCCTGGAAATTCATTCCATGTCAGCTTGCTCTTATAAGTTGATTTGTGCTTCACTTCTAATTCATGTCCCCGGAAATTCATTCCATGTCAGCTTATTATCGTGGAGCTATGGGTATTTTGCTGGTCTATGATGTTACTGATGAATCATCTTTCAACAGTAAGTTTCTCTGTTCTCAATTGATCAAAACTTAAGACTGCTGTGCAGATTTTAAGTGGAAGAAATTTCGCTTCTCTGAATGTGCTGTTTGATTTCCCTACATCACTACCAGCACCTTCTCATCGACATTTTTTTTTGTGCTGACAAGTATTTGGGAAGTTGCATTACCTTTTACTAAACTATTTCCTTTCATTTACGCACACCATTCTTTTCTTGATGGTTTTCTTATAAACCTGGCTTATCACCATTTTCAGACATTAGGAATTGGATTCGCAACATCGAGCAACATGCTTCTGATAATGTTAACAAGATATTGGTAGGGAACAAGGCCGACATGGATGAAAGCAAAAGGGTATGTTAGTCAGTTCTGCAATCAATTAATACCAGCTGTTAAATTGCTTTTGATTGCCATTTTGGAAGTCTTGCTTATATGATTATATCTTAGTTGCATTACCAAGGTCGTTTATTGATCCCAGTTTTTAGCACATAGAATTTTTTGTTTTTTTCACTCGGGTATTCATAACAGGAAAAAACTACAGTTCTGTGATTTCATTTATGGTTTTAGCAATTCATCTCTGTTTCCTTCACTTGGGCGTTAATGCTCATATCAATGTGAAATCACTGTATGATTGATAACCCTTATTTTTCTGTAGGCTGTCCCAACATCCAAGGGCCAAGCACTCGCGGATGAGTACGGGATCAAATTCTTTGAAACTGTAAGTAACACTGCAGAATTTGAAGCCAATTGAAATAGTGTTGGTATTTATTGAAAAATATGTGCATCACAGAGTGCAAAGACGAATCAAAACGTGGAGCAAGTTTTCTTTTCGATAGCAAGGGATATAAAGCAAAGGCTTTCTGACACTGACACCAAGGCTGAGGTATTTGAATTTCATGAGCTCCTATTTTGGATTTGACAAGAGTGAGGGACTTTTCAATCTCTGTTACTGTTTGAACATTTTGCTTGGGTTGTGTATTGCAGCCTGCAACATCAAAGATTCATCTAGACCAGGCGTCTGGAGCAGGTCCAGCTGCCCAGAAATCAGCTTGTTGCGGTTCTTAAAAGCAAATCATTTCCTAGTGGGGGCATGAATTACGGGTTGCGCTTTTGTTGAAAAAACGGAAGAGATGGAGAAGAACTAGTGCTGATAACGGATAAAAAAAGGGGGCTTGTAATTTATCTCATTTGTCATTCTTTTCAATCTTGTTTTAGTGTGTTAAATTGCAGTTTATCATTATAGAATATTATTCGTGTCAACAGTTGGGTTGCTTGTGGAAAATATTCTTCCTCTTTTTTTTATCCATTGCCTTTCTTCATCTTATGAGATTTGTACTGGCATTACTGTTGGGTTGTTTACGATGTAAAAAGACAATTCTGAATGGTTTCCGGTGGTGTACTGGAATTGCACTGAAGAAGACAAAGCACCATGAGCGTTCAGCATGTGTTTTTAGAATATTTTAAAAGTTGTTTTTTAATGTGTTTTTTTTTTAATTTAAAAATGTATTAAAATGAAATTTTTTATTTTTTAAAATTTGTTTTTAATATCAAGATGTCAAAATAATTTTAAAAAACTAAATAAAATTTAATTTGAAACAAAAAAAAAAACTTGAAATTTAATGAAAAACCAGTTCGCCTGCAGCTCCAAACAAGGTTTTCTTACCCTGTCTTTCGTCTGGGCGAAGGCTTCGAAAACCTAGTTCCAGACAAGAATACTTAGACAAAAATGACCGGGAGTAAGGCAAGCCTCGATGGTTTGATAAATAAAAAACTCAGGAGAATATACTCATACGAGCTCCGGGATTTTCTGAGATTGGAAATTCATGCTTCTGATGATAAATTGTGAAAGCTAGCTTCTGGGAAGTAAAGATATTCGAGCACGGTACACGATTGGAAATTTTGATCGGTAATTGGACAGCAGTAAGCAAACATAACGTGAAGAATTGGCTTTTCGAGAAGCAGCCAGCTGCTTAGCGTCCCCCTTGTTCACTGATAAAATATAATTTGAATCTGTCTGCTTTTAGTACAAGCCAGAAGTACAGCAACAGCACTCAACAATATTACAACTTGCCTGCCGTCGAAACGACCCAACATACCATATAAATCTGATCTTAAACTCGTGACCATTAGAATTAACCCATCGGTCTAACGTATGGTGCCCCCATTCGTGTCCAAATTCCTCCAAGTATTCCAGGATGTTATGTACAATAATACAGCACAATGAAGAACAAGTTTCCCGCATCGTGGCACAAGGGTGAAGCATAAGAATGATCAACTCTTACCACAAATTTCCAGTAAGAATGCCAGTTCAATAGTCATGGTAGCAACTGAGGTTATTCTGTGTCACCAAGTGATTCGCACAGAAGTTTCCCTTTGTTTCTTACATTGTACTTAGGCACCCAATCTCACTGATTCAATATCAAAATACAGTTCTACATGAACTAGCTGTTCATCATATAACAGAAAGCATCATTTGACCTGTCTCTGAACAGCATTCCCTGCAGTGCATGCATGATTCTCTAGCCAGTCATGCTAGTTTCTATGCAGGCTGCAAGTAAAATAATGCTTTACAGCATTAGTTCTTCCTTCCCATAGATACGCTGGAGCTCACGAGTTGCAGCTTTGAACGATTCTGAGAAAAAGCAAAGAGGGGAAAATATAAGGGAGTAAGAACACAACTACTAGCAAAATTATCGAATGCAAAATGGTCTAAAATTTTAACTCTCCCCCTTCTCTTTCTAAGAAAACAAGGGCAGCTAAAATTGCCCGAGCAAAAGCGTGGTTGTGCTTCCACCAAGGGCATTCAACCAAGGCAAAGCTAAATGCATTGCATTTGCAATCAAGAGATGGCAAGTTCAAAACTCACTGAAGTTACTTCATGCAAAATATCTAGCAGCGGATGGCTGTCTCAAGATTTCCTTCATGCAAAATATCTAGTAGCGGATGGCTGTCTCAAGATTTCCTTTACTCGGTAATACCTTAAATAAATGGATACTTATATTTTACAAGTGTGCTTGTAAGCACAATGAATAAGAGACAAATAATTCTAATTGTATACAAGGTAAAAAGTCAAAACAAATATTTCCATTACCTTTCCAGATGCGAAAGGATTTCTGATTAATAGGTGCACCAAAAACAGTTTGAATTGCGTCAAATAACATGCTTTCAGGAGTGTTCCTTAATTCTTGTACTATCTGATAGATAGTTTTTCCATTTTCGAAGCATATATGATTGTTTGGATGTTTTGTCTTGCAACCAGCATGGCGTTCAAACTCATATGCATTGAGCACCTTACACCCAAATTATAAAGTGGATCAGTAGTGTTTGAAGAATTCATCCAGACAAAGACTAAAGCCAATAAAACGCTCACCTTGGAATAATTACATGATTGGCACCCACAAAGATAGCCAGAACCTTTTATAATGCCACGAAGCTCCTTGTTACATGCAGAGTACAAGCCACAAGGTCACTAGATTGAAAATAAGAAACAGAGTGAGAAAAAAATGGACTAAAATATTAAGGAGATTTACCTTGCGTGACAAGGAAATATACTTTACGGGGACTCCATCAAGCATACCAGTTGAGATCAAACTTCTGACATTCGAAGGAAAGCTGTTTGGAGCTTCTTTTCTGGTAGTTTTCAACCCTTGTCTGTTCTTAGAAACAGGTTCAGGTTTGGATTTAGTTGCCCGAGTATTACTTGCAACTGCCTTGGCACCCAGCTCTTTTTGATCAACTGCTTCTCGTGTTTTAACTGAAGATTGATCGTAAGAGTGGTCATAATTGTTGATTGGCCTACAGATAGGTATAACATCATGCGCATCTTCAAATCCTCCAAACGATAATAGATTGGTGTCCTCCTTTCTATATGTGTCACTTATTGGAATGACACTGTCGTCAACTTTGATGTAAGTGGAGCTCATTGACCCAACATGTGCATCTTCTTTATTGTAGGTATGACCTTTCACTGTGACATTGTTATCCTCATCAAATGCTTGCCCCATTGATATAAAGCTACTTTCACTTTCCCTGTTGAAGCCCTGACCAGTGGAATTGTTACTGTTACTTTCAACTGTGAAACCATGTCCCAAATTACTTTCAATTGTGAAACCATGTCCCTTTGGGACATAAATACTACTGTCAGAGTCCTTAACCTGATTTACTTTGACTTTTCTAAAACCACCATAGTTAACACAGGCTTCAGGATCTCCCATACCATGAGATATAGACAGGCTAACAGATGCATTTGAGTCACCGGTTCCAGCAGGATATAAATTCCTTTCAGCAAAATTGTAAGATCTTGCAGTTTCAGCCCCAAATAACCGATGAATAAATTGGTTTGGGACAGACTGAAAACCAGGGGTGTTGTCCCAGGAAGGAGCATTTGCACTGGAAATTCCAGAAGTCATGGTGCTGTTTGGAGTTTGCACTGCTTGCTTCTTGCTAGGGAACAACTCAGGCTCAGCATCATCTATAATCCACTGATGAGATCGTTTAGATTCAAGCCTGGATGGATTCTCAAATGCTGGATCTCCATCTGTACCCTTTGACATCCAAAATCCCTTGTTCTGCTAAACCCACAATGGAATAATTATTCCAAGAAGAAAAGTAATTCATATTCAGCACCAAAATATTATTCCAGCATATCTTTACAACTGTCAAAGTATCCATACCATTATCTTCGACCAACAGCCATAAACCCCATGCACAATTTGGGAATTTTGTCAGCTTAAAACAATTATCATACAACAAAAAACTCAGTCCACCCATGCAAATTTTACTCCTGAGAAAGATGAAATTATCAACAATTTAATTTACATAAAGTGGCAGGCAACTAGACTTGAACTACAAACTCCAATGAGATTACAACAAATGCCTCCGGGTAGCAGCAGATTTAGGAACTTATTTGTTTCTATTCGGATCATCAAGCAACCAATTGGGCTTATTAAACAACAAATGTACGCAATTTCCTCACTAATATGTCAAGCAATCCCTCTATACTCCAAACTTGCTAATTACAGTAGATAAAAACACGACCACTTTTCACAAAATATTTACTTTGCCGAGCACAACTGCTAGCGTTGCATGAGAAATTATCGGGTACCCTCCTTCACTTGCATGAAAGTAAGAGCCATTAAGATAAACTACCTATGAGTCCCATTTTTATGCAAGCAAGCGAGTTAGTAACAGGATTACCGTATTCCATACATACCATTTTGCTTTGCTTCTTCAAAGTCTCACCCTTCTTTCTTCAACAGATCATTTCCATCCTTTAAAATAAATTTTCAAAAAAAAAAAAAGAGGTTGTTTCAAGCTCGAAGTCACAGATATGAAAACCCCAATTAGATAATATAAAACCTAACCCTAAAAAAAGGAGAGCTTGAAGTTTTTGACAAACCTCAAAATCTTTAAGATGGTTGGGAAACTGATCGGAATGTTGACTACCGGTCTCCTGAATTTCTTAACAAACAGTAATCAGCGATGAAAATCGAATATAAATAACAGTAGTAAATTAGATGTGTGTCTGAGGAGCACTCGATTTTTTCTCGTGATAGGGAATTGCAAATGGGAAACATCTGCATTCGCCGTTACATTTATATCATCCGTACACGTGTGCCAGAGAGCATCGAGCATGCACCGTTAGTGTTGTAAAATATTTTTGCAAACCGGGTTTTTGTTTTTGTTTTTTCCGAGGAACCAGGGCACGGGCAGACTTCTTAGTGTACGGGGGCAGCCGCCATTTCATGAGATTTTATTTTATTTTAAATTATTTTTTTATTTTTTTAAGTTATTTAGAGTTTAGACATATTATATGAAAAATAATTTTTTTTAAAATAAAAAAATTAATATATTTATTAGTAAATAATATTTTAAAAAATAATATTTTTTTCTACTTAATTTCGAGTTTTGGCTTTTGAAACTCCTAATTGTCTAGAATTCTTTTCATTTCTTATTGGGGTTGGAGTTAAACCTATTCAAGCTATTATAAAACTCTTTTACGAGGTAAATGTCGGCAGAAGAATTTGATTTAGTCCTTATTTGTCCGCGCGGTGCAACCATGTTTTTTGTAAAATTATTTTTTTAATATTTTGATATTTTATTGCCAAAAAATAAATTAAAAACAAAAAAAATATTATTTTTATATATTTTTAAATTAAAATATTTTTAAAAATTATCACTACTATGATACTAAATAACAAGGTTTTTATTTGGCATTTTTTCGTGAATTTTATATATTTATATTCCTTGATTTCAGTTTAGTTAGTTTAGGTCACGTCACTGTCGCTAGCATTACTATTCTTCATATTTTTGCATACAGTCTTATTTATTTTTATGTTTTAAAAATAATTTTAAAAAATTTAAAATTATTTTATTTTTTCCTTCCAATTAATATATTTATGGGGTTTTTATATCATTTTAACACTCTGGTATTAAAAATATTTTTAAAAAAAATAAAAAAATATTTTTAAATAAAAAATATTTTAAAAATCAACACAAACATTCTTCAAAATATTTTTTTTTCATTTTATCCTATAAATAAGATAATGTCCTGTAAAAAGAAGGAGCTTCCTAATTTTGGCCAGCAGGCAGGTCCAGACATGAAGGTTCGTAGGACTGTTTGTGGGATCGGCGATGCACATGCCAGATCACATGCCGCCCCAAAATTATGCTGCTCTGTCAGCGCACATAGGCTGCTCCTCCTTTGTTTTTTACAACTACAAATGAGTCCCCGACTTATATAGTTACCAAACGATGATGCTTAAGATCTTGCTGGTTTCTCCCCAAGCTGTCTTTGGCTCTCTATATAATTCATCCACGTGTCGATTTCAATCGTCGAAACTCGATTCATGGATACCATTTGAGGCAAGAAAATCTAAGTAGTCATATATATATATATATATATATATATTTATTTTAATTAGACGGATTAAATGGATAAGTCCAAATTAAAAAAGAATTTGGTCATGTCAAATAACTTGTACACCAAAAACATGTATAGTTTTTAATTAGATTATTGGATCATACTCAAATTAAATAAGATATTATCCTGTAAAATACTATATAAAAATATTAAAATAATAAAATCCTAAAAAGTGGACTCATCAAATTCATTAGCTATTTCCTATTTAACATAAGATATAAAATTGAAACTTTTTATATCCTGGAAAGTAATTTTGAGAAATTTTAAAATAATAGAATAGAAGTAGAAATAATATTTTTGACATGGCAAATGAACCGACATGTCATTCATCCTTTGTGAGATTGGAAAAAAAGACATGCCGTCTCTTGCCTAACATGGAACGGACCCATAGCGTGTTGCGTCCTCTATTCTCTAGTAGAAATGCAAGTATTTATAAGAAGGTTTCGGCTCGGAAGGACGCCACCTTGCACCTAGTTGCTCTTTTGTGCTTGATCAAAGCCCTTGTGCGAAGTTAATTTCGGACGCCATGATCAGAGCAGGAAACATCGTGATAAACGGAAACAATCATAAATCCTAATAGAAACAAAAACCACCAACTTTGATCGGAGAACAAATCCATCAGCAGCTCAGCAGCAGCAACGTTGGCAAGACCAGAACTTACAATATCCCAGCAGGAGCAGGAGCAGCAGCAGGAGCAGCACCGTTGGCAAGACCAGAACTTACAATATCCACCACAGGCAAAACAAATTCATGCGGATTACTTTGAATGTGAACAACAATCGCCGCAATTGCTTAATAAACCCATATTGGCACAGCAAGGAGGCCATGGCTTTGAAGGACCAAGACACTATTATGTGAGAATTTCTAACTAGATTTGTCCATCTCAAACTATAATAAATAAAATTTAATGCTCTCGGTATACAAAAGAACTGAATGAATCTGATTAGTAAAAAATCCCAACTACGTAGTCGTACTAGAAGGTGGTATATGAATAGAAAAAATAAAAAATAAAAAATCTATTCAAAATTAAAGTCTAGATAAAACATTTCAACACAGATTGCGTGCTGGCCCTCCTTAACTGCAACTCCGACTCATTCTGATCCATAGGCAGTGCCAAGCTCAAATCCAAGCACAGGACTCTCTTGCTGCTATTCGATCTCTTCAAAACTGGGACGGCTGGTAATAAAGGTGGATAAGTCACAGCCAGTTCATTATCAGCAGTGCTGTTACTGGTAGCATAAATATTATCAGCCCTATGCCTCCTCATATGACCTCCAAGCGCTTGCCCGATAGGAAATTCAAGCCCGCAAATGGAGCACTGGTGATTCTTTGGCTTTTGAGGCGAATTGGGCAACTTCATTAACAAGTTCCCAGTTGATCCCACGAGTTTTGGTTTCTTGTGACTTGCACGGTGGCCTCCTAACGCTTGAAATGAAGAGAAATTCTTGTTACATGTTTTGCACGAAAACAAACGACCGGCCCCGGATGGTGATGATGATTTATAATTAGTTGGTAGCTCATGATCATCAGCTTTGCCAACTTTATAAAGTAGCATCAAGCATTTGCCCATGTCTAACTCTCCCTCTTCTCTCCCTCTCTTCATTGTAATTGAGCTCATAGCTTATAGATTGAATTGCGTGATGTGTGTGAAAATATATATGGTGTGCAAGAGCAGCAAAGTTTACACTACGTGGTGTTTGTATGAATATTTGATGGATGGAATGGAAGTAAGGGGAAACAGATCGGTTTGTATTTATACGAGGCTGGTCCGAGTTGGCAGCACAGCCGAGTAAGCACTGACGTCTTGGATTGAATGGCGGTTATGCCCCGAAGGAAATTGAGGGCGAGTGGTGGGCTATTAATTATAGTGAAATAGATGGTGAGCGTGCAGCTGCCGTGATTGATACGTCAACATGCCGCGTTTAGCATACTTGAGGAGGGGTTCAGGTCGAGTCCTTGATGGTGAGCACTAGGAATCTTCCTGCCTGAAGGACATCATCCTCTTCTGTTGACAATTCTAGAGTCTTTTAGAACAAGCCCCACCGCACTTAGAAGACGCGTGCACGGTAGCCAACTCAAATATGTTTCACACAATATTAATTAATATTGCAGTATATTATTAGGCCTTGTGTTTTGAAATTATTTTATTTTAAATTAATTTTTAAAATATTTTTAAATAATTTTAATGTGCTGATATAAAAAATAATTTTAAAAAAATAAAAAAATAATTCTAATACATTTCTGAATGAAAAACATTTTTTGAAAAACAATCGCAATTATACTCCTAAACAAGCTTTTAAATAATACACTAAAATGTGTGATAAAAGCACTGTATATTTTCTTACATGTTACTGTAGATTGTTATAGTATTTTTTTCTAATCTTTTTTGGTTTTTTTATCACAAAAGTGTGTTTGTTGATTTTATTTTTTTAATATTCAGTAATATTGTAAAATATATGGAGAAAACACTGTCACTTTTCTCACATGTTACTGTAGATTGTTACAATGCTTTCATTTTATTTTTTTTGGATTTTTTCCCTTATTTTTGGTTTTTTTTCTTTTTTTCACAAAATTATGTTTTTTATTTTTTTTTAATATTGAGTTGGTTAAGAATTTAGCTTTGTAATTTTTTTTAAAAAACATTATGAATTGCTACAGTGTTTCTCAACATAGTTTTTTTTATAATTTTTTTGGTCCCCCCCTAATTGTTTTCCTATTTTTTTCACAAAATTGTATTTGTAGATTTTATTTTTTTAATATTGAGCTGGTTAAGAATTTAAATTTATAATTTTTTTTAAAACATTATGAAATGCTACAATGTTTCTCCGCATAATTTTTTTTCTTATGATTTGTTTTTCAAAATTATTTGTTAATTTTATTTATTTAATATTGAGTTAGTTAAGAATTACAACTATAGCTTCTCACACAAAAAATCATGGATTGCTAAAATATTTTCCCACTTATTTTTTTTATGATTTTGTTTAAAATTTTAGTTGTCAATTTTATTTTTTTAATATAGAGTTGGTTAAAAATTTAGCTTTATAATTTTTTTAAAAAAATTATGGATTACTACAGTGTTCCTTCACATGATTTTTTTAATTGTTTTAGTGATTTTATTTTTTTATAAGTGTTTTAAAATTATCTTTATCAATTTTATTTTTTAATATTAAGCTGGTTGAAAATTATAATTACAATTTATGGAAAAAGCATTTTAGCTTTCCTCGTAAATTACTATGGATTACTATAGTGTTTTTACCACATGTTTTTTATATTTTTTAAATTATCTTTATCAATTTTATTGTTTTAATATTGAGTTGGTAGAAAATTACAATTACAAGTAAGGTTAAATTATATGAGGTAAGTATTATAGCTTTCCTCACAAAACACTATAGATTGTTATAATATTTTCCTACATTGTTTTTACCACATGTTTTTTATATTTTTTAAATTATCTTTATCAATTTTATTATTTTAATATTAAGTTGGTAGAAAATTACAATTACAAGTAAGGTTAAATTATATGAGGTAAGTATTATAGCTTTCCTCACAAAACACTATAGATTGTTATAATATTTCCCTACATTGTTTTTTCCCCTGTTTTTTAATGATTTTTTAAAAAATTATATTTATTAATTTTTTTAATATTTATTTATAATCATAATACCTTCAATTATATTTATTTCATTAGCCTGTTGCAGCGACATGCCATCCAGTTATAAATCTAATT